AATGTCAGCTCGACCCCAGAGGTTCTGCAGAGCCCTGGATCACAGAAGGTCTGGGCAGAGCTACAGCACAAACCACGGCTGAATAGCTCACAGAATTGACTCAGTAGGTGCTTTAAATCACCTGAGAGAGGGGAGTTGGCATCATTTCTCTTCCCCCTGAGCTCACAATTCCCTATTCGCTGTTACTGCGATGACAAGCCACCTGCCGTGGCCTCGAGCCACTGGGCCAGGCTCAGCCTGCAGCAGCTGCACGTTGGGTGATGCAGGGGAGCTGCATGGGGACAATGCTCCCTTCGGAGCTCGTGACAGAGACCCCGAGCAGGTCAGAGACGTTGTGGGCTGTGGCAGCCCCTCCTGAGGGACACTAAGGTGGCAGTATCACTTGCCTTCTCATTTTGACACTGCCCACATCAGTGTAGAGGTTGAGAAGGGGCCGAATGCAGATGGCCTGGGCCATGATCTCATTCAGCTGGGGCCGCTTGGAAGGATCCAGGTTCAGCATGCTGAGGATGAGCTGGCGCAGGTCGGGGCTGTATCTATCCGATATCGGGGCAAACGTGCCGCTCATGATCTTCAATACTAAGGCAGGAAGATTCTGGAGAGAAAACAAGAGAGACATTTACAGTGGGCTGGGCGGTCAGAGATGAGGCCAAGGAGCAAGAAGTTCTCAGCACTGCCCTCTGCCTTCACACCTCCAGGCTCAGTGAGAAGAGTGATCCAAGCATACATTTTCACCTCTGCAAGAGGCCACGGCTCCCTGTGTTATGTGTAAACCATATCCCTCTTACCGCGGCTTCGAAAGCCCTCTTGAGGCTGGCGAGTTCGTACAGCACACAGCCCAAAGCCCAGATATCACTCTTCTGGTTGTAAGGCTTCCCTTCGCAGAGCTCTGGGGAGATGTAGCACGGAGTCCCCACAACCTAGAAGAGACAAAGAAATCCAACGTGATGCTGTGAAACTGGGGCAGTGAGGTGGAAAGAGAAAGGCCAGCCAGAGCACCACCAACCAACGCTTAGTAAAGCTGAGCTTTTGTTCCCTGGTGTCAACATCTGCCTGACAACCTCAGTCAAAAACACGAGGATTTGCCTTTCCAGTGACTTCCCTTGCGCAGACGGAGATTACCTCTAATTTTGCTTCTATCCACTTCAGAGAATCAGAGCCCAGAGCAACAAGCGTGATACAATGTCTAGTCAGATTAGCCCAGGTGGGGAATGATACCCAAGTCTCAAGCAGAGAGAGGAGATTAAGACAAGGCAGGACGGCGGGGCACAGGCAGGAATTCAGTTGCCAAGTATGTGTCAGACAGAGCCTGCAAACACCACCCCTCCCACCGTGACAGTGGGAGGAACCCTGTCTACCCTCACCAGTGGGCCCAGACACCCAGGCTCTCCCAGGCAGGTCTTTCTCACCTTTCTGCAGTCCACAGAGCTGCAACAAACTTGGGCGTGAAGACAACTGAGAAGCAAAGCAGCACTGTGGCACGCGGATGTGGCCTGCTGCAAGTATGCTACATCCAACCCCGCTGCCTACAGCAGCTTCCAAGAGACTATCCTGAGCCAAGTCCAGAGTTTCCAGCCTGCTGCCATGGTGGTAAGCAGCTCCCCTGCAAAGCCAGGCCACCCACCGTGTAGGCTTTACTCTTGCTGCTCAAGATTTTGGAGATGCCAAAGTCTCCAATCTTGACAATCATGCGGTGCTTGTCCAAGAGGATGTTCTGAGTCTTCAGGTCGCGGTGTAGGATCTGCTTGGTGTGCACGTGGTGAAGAGCCAGGAGGATCTGCACGAAGAAGTGCAGGATGGTGTCCTCATCCAGCAAGGAGTTGCAGCGCTTATGAATGAACTCTGCCAGGGTGCCCCCTGCAAGGAACAACAAAGGGCTATCGGCAAAGGTGGCTGCACAGGGCAGCCAAACCTGGCCTAAAAACCAGGGGGATTTAACCACAGCATCTTAACAGCCAAGAGCATGGGAAAAAAACACATGCTGGTGAGACACACAGCGTGTCCTCCAACACTCCTGAGACCATGGGAGAACAATGGCAGCAGAGTTGGGACGAAGAAACAACGAGAGAGAAGTTACTGTTGACATATTGTCAAAGGCAGCAGGAAAAGAAATGCTAAAATTATAGCTCTTGGAGGAAGACATAAACCTCGATGGCAGAACAAGATAAGCCTGTTCTGCAGAAGAGAATTCTTGCAGTCCGAGAGGCCACGTGGCACGGAGAGGCCCCTGTCGAGAAGGGGAGGTCCAGATTCAGGGCTCCCATACAACTTTTAACAAACCCTAAGGCAAATGTTGATTTAATCTTAAACTCCACAGCAAACCTCATTAGAAATCACACCTTCCCACACAGAGCTGTGGGACCAACAGCGTGACCAGGAGCTGACACACGGAAATGTATGTGAAGCCTAAGCCAAGGGCAGATGGTAGCACACTTATCAACGACAGAGGTGTTAGAAATCTCTTTGTTTTGGATATGATTAGCAGGCATAAGGCATAATCACGGAATCAGGGAATGGTTGAGGTTGGAAGGGACCTCAGGAGGTCATCTGGTCCAACTCCCTGCTGAAGCAGGGCCACTGACAGCGGGTTGCCCAAGACTGTGACCTGTCTTTTGAATATCTCCAAGGATGGTGACTCCACAACCTCTCTGGGCAACCTGTGCCAGTGCTCAGTCACTTGGCTCACAGTCAACTTGGTGTCCACCAGGAGCCCCAGATGCTTTTCTACAAAAATATCTGTTAAAGGGAGGTGTGTTTGGACTCCCTGGGGTTCCAAAGCACAGGATCTTTACAAAGAGCACAACATGGGGCCACAGCAGCCCAACCCAGGGCAAGCTGAGGGCTTGGACCTGCTGAGGAACCAGCTGCAAGTGCTGGGGGAGGCCAGGGCCCACCTGGGGCGTACTCCATGGCGATCATGAGCGCCTTGTCCTCCAGGAAGTTCTCGTAGTACTCGATGACGTTGGGGTGGCTGAGCAGCTTGAGGACCTGGCACTCGTTCTGCGCCGCCAGCCGCTCGTCCTTGCTCATCTGCTCCACTGGGATCTGCTTCAGGATCACCAGCTTCTGGTCGGCCTTGCGCAGGCACAGGTGCACAATGCTGTGGGATGGGGACAGGGCCTCAGCGGGGGGGGGGGGAACACAGGCAGGGCCTGGCCACCACCCTGGGGTGACACATAGCCTGTGTGTCCCCCGTTGCCACAGTAACAGTGGCTGCAATCCCCCCCCCCCAGGTGTCACACACACACAGTGCCATGTCACCCCATCGCCATGGCAACAGCCAGGTCCCCCCACGCCCGGTGCCCCCCCGGCGCCGCCATTACCCGAAGGCCCCTCTCCCCACCACCCGGATCCGCTCGTATTTCTCCATCGCTGCCTCGGCCGGGCCCGGGCTCCTCCCGTCTCCATGGAGACACTTCCGGGAGTTGCTACGGCGGCCGCGGGCGGACCAAACACCGCGGGCCGCGCCCGTTCGCCCCCCTACAATTGTCTAGGGGCAGCAGAGAGGGTAACGGCACCCCAAGGCGGCCTGCCTGGGCCCCCCTCTTGGGCAGCACCCCGGGAGAGGGGGTTGGGGTTCCCTGAGGCCGGGTGGCCTCCTTGTCCCCCCCATAAAACCTGCTTTAACCCCCCTCTAGGACACCAGCATACACC